GACATCGATTACGTTCTTCCAGTTGTGCTGCTATTCTCACTTTAGATGAAGGTTTACAGAACAAAATAGTTTCTCATTAAACAGTACACATATTGCCCTACGACAATGGTTAACAACCCCATTACGTGTCAACACTGTCCTTACTCAACCTTGGGTTCCCTATCACTAGCTTTCCCGTCCCCTTCTGCCTTCCAGTCCTTGTCCCTGGACTGCTGTGCTTCATTAGTCCCATTTTGTTTTATGGGGCCGTTAGGGTGTAATCCTTACAGGAGCAGACTGCCGTATCTTTCACATGCAGAACCACTGGGTGGGAACTGCCAACCTTTTGGTAAGCAGCCAAGCACTTAACTGTTGAGCCACCAGGGCTCTTTATCTCCTCTTTGTTAGCTACCTTTTTTTGAGCCATTGGGTATCAGGTACTGTGCCTTGTGGTTCATATATAGCATTTCTTTTAATCTTGACAAGAACCTTATGAAGAAGGCATTATTGTCATCTCATTCTAAAGCTGTGGACTGTGAGGCCCAGAATGGATAAGAACCTTACCCCAGGTCACAAAATCAGTAATTTGCAAAGGTAGGATTCAAACTGGGTATGTCTGACTCCAAAACTTGTCCTCTTTACCATGTGACTATACTGCCTTGTTTTACTTATAGCTGACCCACAGCTTTAAGTCACTTCCCATTTAAATAGGTCCAATGACAAATGAAGAAAGGGCCCAAAGTGAATCAGTGAAGAAGTTCTAAAGCTCATACTCTGTATGAGCAGGCCAGGTTAGATCTTCCTGGCCATGTCAGGAGTCATGGCCCCCTCTGCACATGGCCCTGTCTTATCACTGACCACTCTGCATTTTAACTACCTTTTACCTCTCTTTATCCTCACTGTGGGGTCCTTGAAAAGTCTGCCTTGTTCATCACTGTATCCCTAGTACCTGAACTGTGCCTGTCACAAAGTAAGTGCTCAATAAATATCTATTGAATGAAAAAAATATTCTCCCCAAACACAGACCAGGCACTCACATGTGTTAGCATCCTTTTATGACCACATCAGTCATAATGCTTTACAAAATCTAAGGCCAAGTCCATGTCTTCTACCAATTTCTGAGGAATGATACTTGTTTGGGAAATGCTATTTCCCTTTAAGTGATGAATGTTCAGCTAATCTTAATATTTAAGAAATGTCTCTGCTAATAAGAGGGGTGTGCTGGTCACATTAGGTGACCTGTTTAGTGAGTACTCAGCTGACCGAAGGAGAGTGCTTACCTTTATTGGCACGTACCCATGGCTCATGTCACTTAGTTTGCATGGGGTTGGCAGAGGGATTGCAGTGTTGAGAAGCTGAAAGTACAAAAGGTACAGTGAGAGAGATGGCTGCAGATTCATTCTATGAAGAGTTCTCAGAGTGAATTTATAAAACTTGAGAACGTTGGCACCAGAAGAGACCTCAGAGATCATCTTTAGGACTCCTGAGTCCCACTGGTGACTGACTAGTTGGTCACCAACCCACTTCCCCTTGCTCTCAGGCACATAGCTAGACTGTATTTCTCAGCCCTCCTTTCAGTTTGGTGTAGTCACATGACTGAGTTCTAGCCAATGGAACGCAGACAGAAGAGTAATGAGCCTGGCCGAGTAAAGCCTCCCTTGTGCTTCTCTACATTCTCTTTCCCCCATCTTCCAGCTGGTGTCTGGCACGACCATGGAAACCATATGTGGAAGACAGTGGGTCCTCCATCAACCTGTGTACCTGAATGACTGTGTGAAGCAAAGCTCCCAGGTCACCACCAACAGAACCTGATGTAGGCAAACATTAAATACTACTTGTCTTAAACCACTGAGATTTTGCACTTTAACTAATATAATTCTTTGCTATAGGTGTTTCTCAAATGGTCACCCAGGCTCATACTGGACATCGCCAGGAATGGAAAGCTCACAAGGCAGCCATTCCATTATGACACAGCTCTGCTGAAAGGATTCTCCTTCTAGTCAGCCCAAATTTAACAGCCCGTGCCTTCCACCTGCAGTTCCCAGTTCTATGCCGTGGAGACACAGAGGGTTTAGAATAACCCCTCTGTTGTATATCTAGTGCTGCTATAAGAGAAATACCACAAGTGGATGGCTTTAACAAACAGGAATTTATCTGCGCACAGTTTAGGAAATTAGAAGTCCAAATTCAGGGTGCCAGCTCCAGGGGATGGCGTTCTCTCTCTTTCAGCTCACAGTTGAGGAAGAAGGTCTTTGTCCCCTTTCACCATCTGTGGGGCTGGCATTCCTTGGAGATCTCCATGTACTTGGCATCAATCTTCCCCTGGGTCTAGGAGGTTCTCAGCGCAGTGATCCGGGGTCCAAAAGACATGCTCTACTCCTGGCTCTTCTTTCTTGATGGTAATGAGGTCCCTCACTCTCTGCTTGCTTCTCTCTCCTTTTCTCTTGTAAGGTAAAAGGTGATGTAGGCCATACCCCAGGAAAACTCCCCTTACATTGGATCAGAGCTGTGACCTGAGTAAGGGTGTTGCATCCTACTCTAATCCTCTTTAACATAATCTAATTTTGCCTCATTAACTACAGGAAGATATTAGGATTTACAACACATAGGACAATTACATCAGACCACAAAATGAAGGACAACCACACTATCATCTCCTAGCCAAGCTGACATGTATTTTTAGGGGACACAATTCAATCCATGACACCCTCTTTATAGAATATCTAAATAGACAGGAAACTTCCTGCACAGCGAGTTCTTAAGAATGGCTCTATAACTTATTGGCGTCAGTTTTCCAGAGGCAAAAACAACCAAGAACAGGATGCCAAATACACATAAGTGTACACTGTGTTACAAACAAAACCTGTTACTGGACATGTTAGTGAATCTTACTGTTAAATTTCTTGTCTTTAGTCCTGAAGGTGTGCTCTGAGAAAGAAATGGCTCTCCTCAGTTACCCAGTTTTCTAACTTTTAAAAAGAAGGAAGTAAACTATAAAATTCACTTCCCTTTTAAATGTGGGAGAGTGAGCTGGGGTGTCCTTGGAGGAGGGAATCAGAAGGTGAGTCAAGACAGGACCCAGGGTCTGGCAGGAGGGACTCAGCATGGTGGGGCATGGGGTGGCAATGAGGTTTTTTTTTGTCTGACCTTGAGGTCCTTCCTCAGAGATGCCTCTAGCTTCCTAGGCCACAAACCAAGAGATGTCCCACAGCTTCCAGGACTTGGGGAGGGTGGTGGTATTCCACCTGAATGATTCTCTTGTGTGTTCCTAGAGTTTACAAGGACTTCATGACCGAGTCCCACAGCATCCTGTGAGACAAGAGGCAAACTCTAGCCTGTTTAAAAAGGGGTGATTTCCATGTTTTCTTTTATCTTCCCCATAGTCCTGAGAAGAAGACAGGTGGGACATGGTTTTCTTTCCCTATTTTACAGGACAGGTATAAAGACCTACCGATTCTACAGATAAGCTATCTGTGGCTCAGATACAACAAGGTTAACACACTAGTGTGTGGCAGACACCAGACAAGCCCATGGATGCTCTGATTCTGAGTCCACTGTGCTTTCTTCTCTGCTGTGTGAGCCTTCTAGACTTTCAAAGGACAAGTTAAGTTTGGACAAGATGCTTTAAGATTGTAAGGTCATTACAGGTACATTTTAATTTATTTAGTAAAGATGCAAAGTAAATTGTTCCCTTTGAGAAACGGCTGGGAAATCTTGGGCATTTCACAAGCCTGATGGAGTATGTGGCGTATCCTTCCCTCTCCCAGATGCTGACATTAGTCAGGGCACTGTACTACTGAAAAGGCTTGTGCAACTCGGTCCCTCCTTGACTCACCCAGGATCACACTGATCTTAGACAAATACAAGAGATAAGGTGTCTCAGCTCTGGTGGAGCAGCTCATCCTCTGGCAGCTCCCTGGCCTATTGTTTAGGGCTTTCCATCCTCATCTGTGACACCTGTAACATTTTTTACTGCAGAGGCTTCCTTCTGGACTGCCCAGAGGGAGTGACCAAAGTGTAATGAAAATGCTTACTGCTTAAGTGACAGCCTAGGCTAGGGCGGAATGTATGCCATGCCCCACTGATGCAGATCTAGTAGGTAAATTCTTAATAGATCACCAGTTGCCATCGAGTCAATTCCAACTATGGCAACCCCACGTATGTCAGAGTAGAACTGTGCTCCATCATGTTTTCAATGGCTGATTTTCTCAGATCTTCTCAATAGTTACTTTAAAAAATAAGGTTGGAAGGAGCCCTGGTAGGACAATGGTTAAGTGTTCGGCTGCTAACCGATAGGTTGGCAGTTCAAACCCACCCAGTGGCTCCATGGGAGAAGGACCTGGTGATCTGCTTCTGTAAAGATCACAGCCAAGAAAATCCTATGAGGCAGTTCTACTCTGTTACATGGGGTCACTATGAGTCAGAATTGACTCAAAGACACCCAACAGCAGCAACAACAATAGGGAGACAATGATCATTCCTACTTTATAGGACTGTGTAAGGAATAATTGAGCTAATACATGCAAAGTGGTTAGAATTTGTTGAGCCAAGGTTAGCTAAAAAGAAAAAAATAATAAGGTTGGTATCATGGATTGAATTATGTCCCCCCAAAAATGTGTGTATCAATTTGGCTGGGCCATGATTCCCAGTATTGTGTGATTTTCCTATATGTTGTAAATCCTACCTCTATGATGTTAATGAGGGAGGATGGGTGGCAGTTGTATTAGTAAGGCAGGACTCAATTTACAAGATTGGATTGTGTCCTGAGGCAATCTCTTGAGATATAAAAGACAGAAGTGAGCAGAGAGACAGGGGGACCTGAATACCACCAAGAAAGCACTGCCAGGAGCAGAGCACATCCTTTGGACCTGGGATCCCTGCGTGGAGAAGCTCCTAGTCCAGGGGACCACTGATGAGAAGGCCAACAGAGACAGAAAGGCTTCCCCCGGAGCTGACGTCCTGAATTTGGACTTCTAGCCTACTTTACTGTGAAGAAATAACTTTCTCTTTGTTAAAGCCATTCACTTGTGGTATTTCTGTTGTAGCAGCCCTAGATGACTAAGACAGTTGGGACGGCTTTGAAAGCCACCATCCTTGTCTTGGTTCCTGGACTCTGGTACTAAGACTGTATACATTATTGCTCTCAGAGATTCAGCTTCCCTGTGAGCTGAGTGAAGTGAAAGAAATTGCCTTCAGTGTCCCAGGACAGCATGCTGATGCCATGATGAGTGCGATGAGCAATGGCAGTCCCGTCTGAGAGATGCCCTGGGAACCATGAGCAACGAACTCCACACAGTGAGTTACCCTCTCACCTGTCCTTCCTCTTGTGTACATAAACTACAGATGAATTACAGGAAATCTGGCTCAGCTCAGACTTAAAATCACCTGCATGCTGGTTACTTTCTCCAGCTCTCTCAGGGCTGCACTGGTGTCTTGGACAAGGATGGTGGCTATTCCCAAGTCACAAACTGGCTTGAGATTAGCCTTGATGTCATCTAAGAAGACAACCTGAACCCAAAATAGCATGTACACTAGCATTACTTCTATAAAAGAAAAATTCATGCACCAGGGAAAATACAGATTAAAATGTTAACGGTAGTTATTTTACAATGATGAGATTAAGAATGATTTTCCTTCATTGTAATTATTCATTTTTAAAATAAAAAATATTTCATTATGTAAGTGTATATAAATAAACACACAGATAAATACATGTTCCCACATACACCTATTTATTTCAGCCTAAATCCTGAAACAGCAAGATTAAAAGATGATATAAAATGATATAAATGATATAAGATGATATTAAAATTCAACTGGAAAAATCTACATATTATAAATAGACAAAAAAAAATGTCTGGAAGAGAATATAATGAGGGCAGATAAAAAAACAAATTATAAAGCTATAAAAGGTAGAATAGTTCAGTACTATAAAAGACCCAAAAACAAATGAGAATTTATAACAAAGGTGTCATGTCCAAACAGTGAGGAAGAAGGATGATGCTGGTATGACTACTTAACAGCTTGGTAGGACAAATGGATCCTCATTTCACATGTTACCCCCAAATAGATTCCAGATGAATCAAACATTTAAGTTTAAAAATAAAGAAAGGATTCTGAAATTAACAGAAGAAAGCCTGAGTGAATTTATTTAAAATCTTGGACAAGGGCAGGCCTAGAATTATAAACTACATATCTAATCCAAACGCTGTAAATAAAAAGACTGATATATTTAAGAACATCCTTAAATTCAAAGCACTGATATGATGCTTACTGCAGGTGCTGGAAAGAGCAGAAGCAAAGTCCAAGAGGAGAAATGAATGGTCCTTGGCCCATGGACTGAGCATGATAAGGAGTCCCAATGACTGGAGTTCAGGGTTTGAACCTAACAGCTTGCAGGCAAGGTGGGGCCAGCAACAGAGGGTCAGAAATGTCAGGGAAAGGAATTTAAACTTTGTCCAACTGTCTTTTTGAAAATCAGAGGAACAAGATAAAAACAAGTGTGGGGATATATGCCATTTAAACATGGCTGCACTATTGACAACTGCAGCCCCCACAGGTCTCTATGCTGTATACGACATGTTGGAGACTTGTCAGCGATGAGTAAGAGATTAGGCACGACTTGTTTTCCCAAACCTATTGTCCTGTTACTGATTGGCTTGTTTACCTGAATTCCTTCTCCCTTGCCCGAAACTTGTTACTCACCCAAAGCCCATTGTTCTGTTATTTGCTTCACTGCTTGCTGTACTGACTATAAAACAAACTCCTGGGACTGAAGCTGGGGTTCGACTCCTCAGAGTGACCCTCCTGGCCCCACTTCTCTCAAGAGTTGTGGCATTGGTTATTGTCTCTGCCGCCCCGACAACTGTCGCCGCTGCGACAAGTGTTTTAGATTAAGTAATCTGAAGACAATATGAAAGACAGGATCTAAGGTTGCAGGGATGGCTGGCAGGAGACTGCTGCAATACTGAACTCTATCACTGCTCACCCTTTGGTGGGGTGACCCTGACTTGTCTGTGGCCTTGGGAAAGTCTCCCAGGGTCCCACTTCTTCATAATTAAACAGAGACAGCTGGATTAGCAGCTTTCTATGATGCCCATTTTGACCAAGGTTCTATTAAGAGCCACAGAAAGGGGCCAGATGTCCATCTCTGGTAAAGCTTCCTAGATGGGTGCAAGTTCTTTGGAAGAAGTCCTAGTCTGGGAGAAGTGGAACCTTCTACTGGACATTGAAATGTCCTGCCAGGCACTTGATCTTCTCCCCGCCCCCTCAAATTCTCTTTGGTTGCAATATCTCTGGTACATTCTTATACACCTAAAGGAAACTTCTACTTACCTCACTGGGGTTGGCCTGCAAGGTGTCCAGTACCAACTTGTAACTCTGAGGCTCAGGCTTGGCCATTCCAACATGACACAACTCTATCAGGAAGTCGAAGTGCAGCCTCAGCTGGGCCAGGCTGCCTCTCTGGGTACTATCGTCCACCCAGTTATTGGTGAGGATGCAGGCTGTAAATCCTGAACGAGAAGTCACCAGTGAATGAACCAACCCACACAACGTTGCTGTGAGAAGCTCAAAATGCCCCACAGACAGCCCCAAAGATGGGGCTGGATGGGATCCCACTCACTGACATCAATCTCCTGATATGCAGCTTCTCAAGTGCCAAGCTGGAAAACAATCATCTTGACCTATAAGCATCTTCTGACATTAGACCTGAGAGTGAGCTAAGTGTATACATTAAAGGCTTTCAGAAGCACAGATTAAGACACTATAATCCCTTAATCCCTTAACTCAGAATCAAAGCATTTTAACATTGATCAGCTCCTTTGATCCTCACCACCTTTTGGGTAGGCAGGGCAGATCTTGCTATTGCAGATCTACAGATGAGGAAACCGAAACTCAGGCAAGTCACAGCCTGCCCAGAGTCACACAGTGAGTGTAAAGCAGAGTGAGGCCTAGAACCCTGGCATGCTGGCTCCCACTCCAGCGCTCCTGCCACTCTGCTATGTTATGGCAAACTCTACATTTCAAACACCTGCACTGGTTTCAGGGACTGCTTCCCCATGCCACAACTAGAGAAATGAAAATAGAGAAGCATTATCTTCTGGCTTTATCTGCCTAACAAGTGAGGGCAAGAACAAGGCAATGCCTGAAACAAGACACAGGTGAGTCTATGGTGAGACGAATATGAGTGAGAAATTATGGAAGTGGATGGTTTAGCCACAACCTGGGTAAGTCTACTGGGGAGACAGTGGAATGGTTTCAAATATGCCTAAAAAGGAGAGCCAGACACTGACACCAAACAGCTGCCTGTTGGACGGATATGATCTCATGTCCTAGACCTCTGGCATCATTTGAACCTGTGTCAGCCAGCTCATAGCTCAGCCACTCTGACCCCGAGGGCTGAAAAAATTATAGTTGCTTAAAAGGTCTTGTTTTTTCATCATTGTGACAAGAGGTTGGGAGAAGTTTTTCTTTCAGGTCTTTACTAGCGCCATCTGGACATCAGGAGAAAGTCTGCTGACAAGGCAGTCACTGGTTTAAATTGCTTTATTAAATAAAATTCCTTCATTTTTACAGCTATTTTGATAATGCTGTTTTTTGGCCATTTGATAAAACTGACTTTGGAGTCATGCTCTAAGAATGGCTTTCCATCAAGTCAGAGAAGATCCAGGATCTCAGAACACTGCCCCCCCCCCAAGGATTCTGGTGTGGTTAGATCAGAGAACGAGCGATATTTGAACCTTATCCTTCTTTCTGACAGTGAGAGCTGCCTGAAAGATGGGGTAGTTGATCTTTCTTGCTAAAATCGCCTTCCCAAAGATTTGATTTATAGAGAAATTCTCTGGGAGGCAGATTCCAGAGGCCTCGGAATGTTTCCTGCAATCTTCTTCCATGAGAGGCACCCACTGTAAAAGTGAATTGATAGGGGGCTGTATATTAGTACAACCACTTTGCAAAGTTTTAGCAATATCTATTAAATCCACACTTATGCATGGCCCAACAATTCCACTCTAGACACATGCCCAATGGAAATATCTACTATGTTCACCAAAAGGCATGTACAAAAATGTTCACAGCAGCACAATTCATAAGAGTCCCAAACTGCCCAGTAGTAACAGAATAGATGGAGGTATATATTTATACACTACCACAGCAGCACTCTTTGGAATAGTCCCAAACTGGAAACTACCCACACATTCATTAACAGCAGAATGGATAAATAGATTATGGTATATTCACATGATAAAATACTATGCAACAATGAAAATAAGCTATCTACAACTATATGCAATAACATGAATGAATCTCATAAACATAATGTTGAACAAAAGATGCCAGATATAAGAGAGTTCATCTACAGATTCTATTCTATTCTATTCTATTCTCCTGTGCTGAGTTACTTTTGTTTGTGGATTTTTTTTTTCATTTCTTTTGTTTTTGTAGGTTTTGTTTTTGCTGAGACTTTATGTTTTTC